TTTTGGTGCACAGAAGGATGCCCAATCAACTGAGCACACTGGCCAGGACTGGGAATTATTTTAAAATAATCTAACGTGAGTCCTGGCCGGGTGGTTCTGTTGGTTGGAGGGTTGTCCACATGCACCAAAAGGATGCAGGTTCGATCCCTAGTAAGGGCACACATCTAGGTTGCGGGTTTGATCCCTCATCGGGGTGTGTATAGGAGGCAACAGGCTGATGTTTCTCTTTCTCTCTCCCTTCCTCTCTCTCTAAAATCAGTTATAAAACACATCCTTGGGTGAGGATTAAAAAAAATTTTTTTAAATAACAATCTACCATGAGAGGATACAGATGAAGATTAGCATTTGCTTGTAAGTGTTGCAGCTGAATGATGTATATATGATGTGTGGGGTTTGCTGTACTATTCTTTCAGAAATGTTTGAAATTTTCCCTAATAAAAAGTTTAAAAATAAGAGTAAATGGTAGCTGTTATGGTCACTATATTATACTAGAATGTAAGCAAGGATCACGACTTATCTTTCTTGTCCACTCCCTTCCCCACAGGGTTTAAAACTGAGTCTTCATGTTATGGTACAAGCCCAATCATGTAAACCTGATCATATCTACTCAGTCTTTTGCTTTTTAAAACACTTTAGAAGACTTTCCTCTACTCTAGGGGTAAAAACTCCAATTCATCAAAGGGCTGTCTACTTTTTAAAGGCCTTGCCTATCACTTCAGCCTCAATTCAGATCACTCTTCTCTTCATATTCTGCGGTCAGACATTTTTCTGTTCCTCAAATGAGTCATACTCTATCTTACCACACAGACCCTAGCACAGGTTATTCCTACTACCCATGACATTCTTCCCCTCACCCTCTCTCCTCCCAACCATCTGTTACTTAATTACCTCTCACTCTTTCTTCAGATCTCAGCTCAATCTCCATTACTTCCTCTAGGAAGCCTCCACTGACCAGACTCCCAAAGCTGGGTAATTCTCCCTCATATACACTCTCATCCACTGTCACGTACCTCTTCATAGGACTTAGCACAACTATAATAATAAAATTGTGCTGTTGTTGTTGATCATTGCATCCCTACCATTTGGCACAGGGCCTGGCCTAGAGCAAATGACTAATAAATATTTGTTGAATAAACCAATGAGCAAATGATGACTCATAATCTTCCCACTTACTGCCTGCAAGACCTCACTCAAGTGTTCTTGAAATTCCTGGCATCAAAAGTCCTAGTCTTCTCACCAGTCATCGCCCACGTTGAAGGCATTAAGGCTCTTGGTGAAGCCTTGCATATTGGTGGGGCTGACTCTCTGCAGGAAGTCAATGTAGTCCTCAGAGTGGAAGCGGCACATGTCATGCTGGGAGGCCTGGTATGGCTTGAAGACCTCAGGATGGAAACACAAGGTGAACCCAAGCAAGGTCAGTCCCTTTCACGGCGCTGAAACCACCCACACTGAACCAGCCCTGGGGACTATCCAAAACCACACCCAGCACCCTTATCCCCAATCCTTGTTATGCTATGAGGCAAAGGTCAGTGAAGAAGACAGGCTCTTAATAAGCCAGATGGTTTATTAAGATCAAGCCCCCTAAAGACCACTGGACTTGCCTTTTCCTCCCAACCTCCAGCCCAGCCTTTCCTACCTTCTCAACTGTAAACCCCAATCTACCTGCCCTGTTCCCTGGATCTCCGACTCCTGATTCTCTCCATACTCATCTCCTCCCCTGGGCTCTGATTCTGCCCTTTCTGTCTCTGAGTTCTTAATTTTGGAATCAAATAATACGGGATATATGACAATCTTCTAATTAAAACTCCAAGTACCCAAGTGCAAAGCCAGAGATTCATCTTTTGGGGGGATTCACACACTTCTTTGGAAACTGGGCAAGATCAAAAAACCTTTCTCTCCCCAGAAAGTGTACACAAGTACATACCAGTAAAAGATTTTGAGAATTCATAGATTCATGCACTAACATCACCTCAATATTTTCTATGACCAATTCATTTGTGTGTGCCTCAACACAAGCAGTGGACACTCATTCATACTGACTAATTCCCTTTGCAAGGCATGAGGGCTGAGCTTAACTGTTATAACCGCATATCACTGCTACAAATGCCAAGCTGGGGACAGACAGCATGTGTGTATCTGGGAGATAAAGGGTTGGGTAGTGATTACCCCTGTAGGGGTATTCTAGGTTGAGAAGGGGATACCCAGGGTATCTTCTGCTCTCCTCCACACACACATACACATTTATACATAGGACTATAGTCCTCCCTGGAGCTCCAGCTCCTTGTTGGTGGAGAAAGGGTGCAGAGAAGGGGTGGGAAGTGAGGGTAAACCTCACATCCAGATACAGTAATACAGAGCCCTCTCCCTCTGTGACGACACAGCACTGTCCAGCATCCTAAGGTGCTAGGGAGAAAAACACCTTCTGTTCTCAAACCAGCCCCACTCCACTGTAACTCTAAGCCAAGTGTTAGTCCACCTGAGGTCAAAGGGTGGCTGGCCTGAGGTGAAAGAGTAACTCCCATTCAGTCGGTGGATGCACTCACCAATACTCCGTATATGGGGGGTATGGTGTTCCTGGTTCCTTCTATCCAGCCTTCCCCCCACCCCCACTCTTGGGGTGGGTCTCATTTGGTGAATTCAGTGCGGCCTACCTAGCTCTAGGGCCGTGGCTCGCCCCCACCCTCAATCCCCAGTAGAGGCGGCGAAACTCACGATCATCTTCTTATAGAGACCGTAGTGCAAGACCAGGCTATGGGTCAGTGCCAAGCGGTGAGGCTTCATTGGGTGCCCAGCCCCTGGGGGAAGAAAAGAGTTCGTCAGTTCCCTGGCGTTGTAGCCACAGCCTCGAAACCTCAGCGTCCAGAAACCCCTCGCGTACCACCCAGTTCCCTCACCGTAGTGGAAGTTGCCCACGTCGGGGTCGTAGAAATAGGCCACGGTTTTGGCCATGGTGCGGGCGGGACCAGGCCCCGCGCCTCAGCCACCCGCCCGGCTGCCTGGCCCACCTCCCGTCGTACGTGCTGCGTCAGCGCGCAGCCTGCCTCTGCGGAACCTGGAGCCCAGGCCCCGCCTCCCGTAGACCACGCCCAGACCACGCCCCCTGCGGAGAGCGTTTCCTCGCCTTGCCTTCAGATTCTGGGGCTTGAGCGTCTGGGCTTGGGCAGAGGACAGGTAGCGTCCGTTCTAGAATGCTAGGGCCATTTCCTTCCGGGCGGGGGTCAAATCCTCGAGAAGCCGAGCCATCCCGTCCAGCCACCTCCCTCAAACGGGGTGCAGGCCGTGGTCACCCCTCTAGGAGGCTCCGGAGTTACGGCCACGCCGCCCCTCGCGGGTGGAGAAAGCTGGCTTCCCCCGGCTCACTGGGAAGACTGGCTAACCACCTCGCCGGGGCATCTGAGGGCAGGAGCCGCGCCAGGCGTGCCGGATAGACTAGAGAAGAACGCTCTCCTGACTGCCAATCCATCCCACCCGGACCCAGGCTCGGCGCTGCACACTCCCCCC